TCCCATCTTTTTGTGGGCTGATGTGAGGGCTCTGGTGAGGTTATTACTCCAGAGCTTCCCAATATTGCTATACAAGGAAGAACAACTGATTATAACAGATATGACATCCTAGACACAGTAGTATAATTAGAAATAATGATAGAATCAAGCACAATTTAGAAATTAACAAACTGTGGTAACTATTGATTTTGCACTTTAGAATATAGCTACAAAATCTAACTATATAATAGAACCAATCATACATTAGGAGTTCATATGAAATTTTTTTCTTCTTTTTAGAGGGGATTTACCCTATTTCTATTCTGCATGTGTCTGTCCCTATGCACAACACTGTTTCACCTAACTTATCATCTGTGGCTTGTATTTTTGGGCTTTTCCTTCCTAGTAACCTCACTTATCCATCATGGGCATCCTGGTCTGGTTCTACTTGTGTGGCTGTTGTCCCCTGGTGGCCTGGCCTGGCTATGAGAGGGGATGGATCAGGCATCTTCATTTCTTTCTTTTCTTTTCTTTTTTATTCGGGATCTTGCTATATAGTTCAGGCTAACTTTGAACTCACAATGTAGCACAGGATGATTTCAAACTCACAGTGACCCTCAGTATCCTGCCTTAAACCAATCAAACCATATTTGATTTGGTCATAAAAGTGTTCCCAGATTGGCAGCAGAGTAGCCTTGACCTTCCCCTATCTTTTCTAAGGATGTTTTTAAACAGTTTTTAGCACAGAAGTCTGAGTAAGTCCCTGTGAAATCCAGCTCTCTGCAGCCTGTAATTCCCATTCTCACAGGGCGCTCTGGAGATGTTGCATTATGGAGCCATACCAGCAGCTCTTTGAACAGTGTACTTCATTGCTCATTATTTGCACAAAAAATTTAATTAGACTCAAACATACCACAGCCTGTGGCAAAGATTTAGAAAGTGCAATGAAAATATAGATTTTAGGAAATCCTATTCCAGGGTTCCACAAGGTCCTCTCATGTCCGTGTTGCTATACACATCATCTTCCATTATATTCTATGAATCCCCTTCCATTATATTCTATGTCCTACCCCTTTTAGGAGCACAGTGTGAGACAGAGGAAAAATATCTAACTCTCCTTTCTCTTGTGCCAGCAAGAGAAGGTTGTGATTTGACCCACAGCTATCATACCCCTCTACCTTGCTTCCCTTTTCTCCCCACTGGACACTGGAGGATGATGGGTCAATTTGCCTCTGGTCTAAGTATCTTCCCTGAGGTTGCTTCACATTACCTCTCCAGGCCATTCTCATAGGAGATAAAGCTTGGCTAGTTAGCCATATTGCCCTTCTCATATTCCACCCTTCTAACTGCTGCCTCTTTGAAGAAATGACATGGGAAATACCCCAAAGCTGGTACAGATCAGGGAGTAATCCAGGCCCAGTTTTTAAACCCTCCAAACTCTGAAGCCCCATTAACCTATGAGGAACACAGCTAACCCTCTTGAAGAGTTCCAGATTTTAGCACCCCCATTTCTCATAAATACGTGACAGATGTCAAACAGCCAGCATCTCCCTAACATTTGATTGAAGGGCACCTCTCACCCACTTGGATCAATCACAGACTGGCACTTATACCAATTAACTGGTCTGAATTTGGACCAATCACAGGGCTATGCCTCCCTCCACAGCAATAATTTTCCTCTCATTTCTTGGATTAGTTCAAGAGGACACCTCTCAGGTACTGACTGCCCATTTCTGCCAGGTCTCTACACAGCTTTGTGGTCCTGTAAGTCTGCTCATAAGTTATTTCTTAGGTTATGTGGGCTCGTAGCTTCTGGGCAAGGAAACAGTGCTGGAAGGTTGATATGGTATATAATGAAAGGGAATATTTATTTGTGTGTAAGATGATATGTATAGCAGGAAAGAGTATGTCACATTATCTCCCAACTATAGGTGCTCATGTTGAGACTCCAGATTAACCAGCACAAGAACTGTGTCTTTATCCTGTCCCTGAGCCATGCTTTGAGAACTTCCTCAATATTACAAATTCCGAGAGACCAAGACCATGTCTTGTTTTAGGAAGTCCTCCCCATCTGGTTTTAGGATATGAGTCCTTCTCCTAAAATAAGCCCAAAGGAGGGAGGATGTACAATTTTCTATCCCAAGCAAAGAGTTAATCACTTCTCCACTAGAGGGTGCAAATTTACCAGTAGCTTTCTTAGCCATTGCTTCCTGGGAACTTTACCTCCCATAGATTGTTGGGCAACACTATTAGTGTTTAGACAAGATATCATATCTGCATCTTGCACTATGAATAACTACTATGAAGACAATATGCAATGTATTAATTATTGTAGCTGTCCTACTAATCTGTTTTGAAACTCTCAATACTATTTCTTTCTCAATAAAATTAATAATAAATGGTCAATGAAAGCAAAAGACAGGAAAAGGAATATTGTGGGACTGTCCTGCTTCAAGGT